TACCCTTTTTTATATGCTGTTTCGGATAATATCATATTGAGCGGCAATCTACCACGGCTCGGCAACGAAATTCTTTTATTATATTCTTGATCATTTTTATTGTTATTGCAGAAGTTATAACCATTTATATAATTTTGATTCATTCTTTCCATTCTGAAAAGTTATTTTAAAAACTTCACAACACAACGACATTTACAACCAACTTCCATGTTGTTATTGAAGGGACTGGCAGAACTAGAAATTTTGAATTTACTTAGTATTGCCCGATATTGTAGAATATCTGCTTTCAAATTTAAATATTTGATATTTATCATAATTATTTATTAGTCCAAAATATTACGTTAAATAATCAATTAATTAATATATTTTGTATATTCACTTAATAAAATATATAATTTATTTATTAATATGGAATATAACACATGTAATTGTGAATTGGTCATTCTGTTATTATTGCAGTATCTGGCAACACTGCTGTCAGACTCGGTCCATGGATAACCTTACTTTGTCAAAATATTATGACTCATATTTGTTTATGTATCAATTTATTTCATGTTTTGCGCGGCTTTAAACAATTATTTTAATGTTATATTGTCAAGTTATTCATTAATGAATAAAATGAGTTTTATGGAAGTAGGGTAGCTTTTTTTCGTTTTTCTAGTGTGTTAGAATAATTGTTTACACTGTATACAATTTTAACCTACTATTTTCACGTTTCATGATGTAAATAATATGTATGATTGAAATATTCATTCTATTCGAATGCATAAAAAAATGAATTTTATAAATTATTTGTGAGTAATGTTTAGTATTTTTATATTTATTATAAGTTTATGATAGTAGTTTTTTTATATGAATATTAAGTACTGCATTTATAAAACTTTGATGCTTTATATTTGATTTTTGTACTTTAAAAATATAACATTTATGTAATAATTTTTAGAATAACGAAGCATTTTTTTTAGATTGATTATCCTGAGGCACAACCAACTAGAGCTCAGAATAGCCGTTTAATAGGAGGAACTGGGGCGCCGTTGCATTTACAAGGTGGGGTGCCCCACCCCATCACAATGGAACATCAGAGAGGCATTTCAGGAATCAACTTAATGTTTGATGACAATGTGTGTTATATTATTACATTTATCATTATATTTCTTAAAAGATTGCATATAATGTGTATCATAATTATTTTAGAGTTCAATTGTTTTTTTTAGTGTAATATATCTTTGCTAAAAGTAATACCTGATAAAACATAATTTTATTCAAACTACAAAACTATACATAGTTGCGACAAAATTACGCAATTAAAAAGTGGAGGAGAAGTTAAAATAATATTTTACATATTATTATATTCTCTACATCCAACATAGCTACACAATTTATTTGTGTTGTATTAAACTTGTTTGATGATATTTTACTTAAATTATAGTATAGTAAATTTATTATTATTATTTGCTAATAAATTATTGAATTGTAAGATTAATAATAATGGGACTTACAATTTCATAAATTATGTTTTTTTTTTTTTTGTTAAATAGCCTGTAGTCTCCCCACATCTTATTTAATGATTTCACATATTAATTAGACATGAAACTAGGAGATATGCTTTCTTAACAAAACAAAAATACTTGCTAAATAAAAACATTAGTAGTTTTTTTTGGAGACATACATCACAGATGAAAAATTTGTTGGCACTATATTTATATATGGGGTGCCGACAAATTTGTATATTGATCCGATGTGCATCACGTGAGAACAAGATTATTTGTTCTTAGTATTTATTACACTGATCATACATCGTTTTATTATTAATATTATTGCAAATGTGGAGCTATTGCTACTGACTATGATTTAGTATCTATTAAAAGCAAAGGGAATATAGATACTTAAGAATTATTTGGGCTATGGTGTGCTAAAAATGATATATATTAATGTAATAGGAATAGACTAGAAGTTTTATATTTATTTTGGAATATTTATATATATATATATATATATATATATATATATCTACTGAAATAAGAGAATTAATAATACTTAAGATATTTATAAAGATATTTCAATTTTATATGTTTAAAAATTTATCTATAATTTGATAAACAATGAAATATTACTTGTATACATTGTATGGAGTTGCTGATTTGTAAAATCATATTAACAAGTGTCAAGTTAAGTAATTATTATGATAGCAATGTTATATATTATTTTTATTCTAGCATTTGACGAACACTTCTGTGACAATAAGACCAGAGCTGTACCAGAAGTGCAATCGTGGTTCCCACTCAAGTGATACTAGTTCTGCTTATAGCGGAAGTGACACAATGACGTCTGTTCATAGTTCACTTGATGATGCTGGTGACAGGGACCGAGATGATGAAGTGGACTTGTCGGGTCTGATGGAGTCCCATTGTGGACTCTGATGAAGAAGAAGATCTTGCAGAGAGCATGGATGTGAGTTTTTTTTTAATTTAAAATTATTTTATATGTTATAAACACCTTATAGGATATAATAATTTGAAAAAGATGATCAAATTATTATCATAAATTTATTTTGATATTTATTATGAATAATGTATATGATAATAAAATATAAACTTCTATTTTAACAAATTTAACAACTGTAAGTAAATTCAAACTGAATTTTTTTTTTTTTTTTTTTTTTTTTTTTGAATTAAAAACTTCATGTCAAAAACCGTTAAAACGATTTTAGCAATTTATTGCTAATTTGTATAACATATAAACCGAAATATCGGATCGATAAGATGGCGGAAGATGTAGAAGATCCAAAATGTTGCAGTATATGTAATATTGATGTTAATGGAAAAAACATTATTGGATGTGAAGGTGAATGCAAAGGTTGGTTCCACAAAAAGTGTGCAAAAAGTTACTAATGAACAATATAAAGTTATCAGCACAAGTAACAATATAAAATGGTTTTGTGACATATGCTCAAAAAAAAATGAGGTAAGATATTCACATGAAAGTAATTTGAAAGAAATAGTAAAAGAGCTTAAAACTTTAAAGAATGATATTAAAATAATTAAAGATGCAAGATCTAGTTATGCTACAATATGTAAAAATAATGCCACAGAAAATAATAATAATAAAAAATTATAAAAATAAAGACATAATAAACCCAAATATGCCGCCAATAATTGTAAAACCAAAGAATAAACAGAACAGCTATGAAACTAGAAACTATATTGAGAAAAACATAAATCCAAAAAACGTAAAAGCAAAAGTAAGATCAATTAACAACATTAGTAGCGGGGGGTTAATAATTAAGGCCTCAACAATTGAGGAAACAAAAACATTAGCAGAACATATGATACAAAAAATTGGAAGCGAATACGAAATATATATAAAGAAACAAAGAAATCCGCGACTTATTATAACAAATGCTCCAAGGCAATATATGGACGGCACAGAATTGATAAATGAAATGATAGAATATAATTACAATATAAATAACACAGATCAAATTAAACTAATATACCAAAGGAAATCACAAAAAACAGAAAATTGGATTACATATATCGAAACATCGGGCAAAACATACGAAAAATTATTAGAAAATAATGTAAATCTAGGATGGAGGACAGCTCATATAATAGAAGATTTAAACATAAAAAGATGTTATAACTGTCAGGCATATGGACACAGGGCAGTAGAATGCAAAAACAAGACGTTCTGTGCAAACTGTGCGGATGAGCATAACACAAGAGATTGTAAGAGCAAATCTAAGAAATGCATAAACTGCACAAATGCCAATGTAAAATACAAATCAAATTTTAATACGTTGCATAATGCAAATGAAACGGAATGTTCATGTTATCAACACAGAGCCAAAATGGTAAGAATGTCGACGAATTACAATGGACAAATTCAAGAAAATGAATAAATATAATAGCAATAACAAGAAAATAGAGATTAAGTATTTCAATATAAGAAGCTTAAGAAATAAAATAGATGACTTAGAAATAATTATGCATAAAAATGAAAATTGCCAAATTTTAATATTAACAGAAACTTGGATATACCAAGAAGAAGAAGGATACTTCAATTTAAAAAATTTTAGAGGTTTTTACAACTGCAGAGAAAAGAAAAGAGGAGGAGGAATAGCGATATTCGTAAGAAATGAACTAAACTGTACTGTCATAGAAAATAATAATAAAAATAACATAAACCTCCTGGAAATAGAAGTAACAAATATGAACCCTGTTATAAAGTTTATTGTTATTTACAACCCACCGAATAATAATAAACAAGATCTGATAAATTTAATAGAAAAAAAAATGGAAGAAAACGGTAAAAATACAATAATAATAGGTGATATGAATTTAGATATAATTCCAAACAATAATATATCAAATTGTTACAAAGATATTATAGAATCATCAGGATACAAAATAATAAATAATATAGATAGCCAATACGCCACAAGGGAGACTCAAAACACTAAATCAATAATTGACCATGTTATATCAAATTATAAAAAGAAGATTAATATAGAAATAGAAGACACAGAAATATCTGATCACAAAATGATAACAGTATTTATACAAAATACGCCGAGAATCAAACCAAAAATGCATAAAATAATTAGATATAGCATAGATTTAGAAGGATTAGAAAAGACAATAACTTGTAAGTTAGACTCTAAAATAGTGGACCAATTAGAGGATTTAATAAAAATATACAGGATGCAGCAAAAGAAAATAAAATCAAAGAAACAATAAGAGCCAGAGAAGATACCTGGATAACAGAAGAAATTATTAACTTGAATGAAATACAGAAACAAATTCTACAATAATTTAAAGAAATGCAATATAAATGAAGTAAGCAAACATAATGCCATAAAAATAAAATATAATAATATAAAAAAAGATATAAAAAATATGATCTACAAAGCAAAAAGACAATACTATTCAGAAGAAACAAAAAAATGTGAAAGTGACTCTCGAAAAATATGGGAACTAATAAATAAAACATTAGGAGGAGGAAAAAATAAAAACGAATATAAAGAAAATATTGAAAAAATACAGCATAAAGATAAAAATATATTTCTTACAGAAAAGGAAGACATTGCGGAGTATCTCAACAAACATTTTGCTGAAATAGGTATGAAACTACAAAAGAAAATGGATCATTGCAACTATAAACCATCAATACACAACCTAAAAACAAAATCCAAATTTTTGAATTAACAGATGAGAAAGAAATAAAAAAATTGTTGAAAATCTGAAAAATAACGCTGCACCTGGCGAAGACAAGATAACAGCAAGAATCACTAAAAAAATAATAAATATAATAGCTCCACTACTTGCTGTTTTAATGAATAGATACATAGAATGTGGTATATTTCCATCGTGTCTTAAAATGGCTACAATAAAACCAATTTTCAAAACAGGAAACAAAACAGATCCAAATAACTACAGACCCATAACAATAACAAACACATTCTCCAAGATATATGAAAAAGTAATAAAAAAAAGATTACTTGATTTTCTCATTCAAAAAATTGACAAAAATCAATATGGTTTCCTCCCTTCATCAAATACACAAGGTGCCCTAATAGATTTGACTAATACCATCAGTCAGCACCTTGAGGAAAATATGCACACAGTTGCAATTTTTATTGATTTACAAAAAGCTTTCGATACAGTAGATCATGGCATATTACTCAATAAACTAATAGATTTGGGTGTAGAGGGTTTGTCTTACAGCATTATCAAAGATTTCCTCATGAAAAGAGTGGTAAGGACGAAGGTGGGAAATTTCACAAGTGGAGGATGTAACATAACCTGTGGAGTTCCACAAGGTTCTGTATTAGGACCTTTATTGTATCTATTATACACCAATAACCTTAAAGACGCAAAATTAAAGGGAAGATACATATTATATGCAGACGATACAGCGATAGTATATGCGGATAAGGATAAAAAAAGACTCGAAGATATTATAAACACGGACATGAAAATATACACCGAGTGGCTAACTGAAAATAAACTAACAATTAACATAGATAAAACAAAATACATATATTTCAAACATAGAAAAAATACTGAGAACACTAAACTAAAAATTGAAGTAAATAATAGAGCAATAGAGGAAGTGGAAAGCATAAAATACTTAGGACTGATAATAAATGAAAAACTGACATGGACAGACCATATAAACAAAATAAAAAGAAAGATAGGAACATTAACAGGGGCATTGAAAAGGATCCACTCTTTCGGCAAAAAAAATAAAATACTAATTCTTAAAACGCAAATAATACCTATAATTTTATATGGCATAACAACATGGAGCCAAACAACTAAAGCAAACCTAAATGACATACAGAGAATAATGAATAAAGCCATAAAAATAGCATATAATTTACCACATCTAACACCCACCAAATACTTGCAGAGAGAAACAAATAATCATTCACTAAATAACATAATTGAAATAGAGAAATGCAAACTAATACACAAAATGAAATTTAACCGAATTAAAACAAGTGCAACAATAGACACAAATCAAGATATACATGAACACTACACGAGACAACACAACAATTTTCACATTGAACGCAATAGAAAAAAGAATTTGAGAGAAAATGTCATATGGAGTGCTACCAAAATATATAACGAATTGCCAGACTATATTAAGATGACCAATGATAATGAAAATTTTAAAAGAAAAATAAAGAAGTACTATATAGAAATTGAAGACAAAGAAGACTGAAGAGTTATATATATATATATATAGATATTATATTAATGAAATAGATATTATAGTCAAATGAAATGTAAATATTATATGAAAACTGTTTTTCATAATCTCTCATACCAGGCACCTCTGTCTGACTGAGATATGAAAATAATGTATATATGTAAATAAATAAATAAATAAACGTCAAATGTCAAAATTAAAAAAAAAAAAAAAAAAAAAAAAAAAAAAAAAAAAAAAAAAAATTAGTTTGCAATTATTAGGCAAAGAAAAAAAAATTTCAATTAAAATTTTGACATTTAAAAGATTAGCTTCATTTTTTTTTTGCTCAAATAGGCATATTATTTCAAATTTTATTATAAATTAAGCGTTAAATTTAAATATTGGAATGAATTGATGAAATAATTTTTGTTTAATATATTCAAATTTTCTTTCATTATTCAAGTGTACATTAGGATTGCAACAAGTTTATAATTTTAATTTCAGAGCTTGACGGTCCGTGACACAGTTCGTGAGTGTTTAGAGAAAGACCCTGCAGATCGTGATGAAGCTGATATAGAAATTTTATTAGAACTGACACAAACATTGAAAGCATTTACAAACATGACATTAGCTGTACGTAAAGCTCTTTGTTCTGTGATGGTATTTGCAGTGGTTGAAAAGGCAGGCACTATGGTCATGAGTGATGGTGAAGAGCTAGATTCTTGGTCAGTTTAATCAATGGTCGTGTTGAGATTGAGCATAATGATGGGGAAACTGAACAACTGCATATGGGGGATAGTTTTGGAATCCGACCAACAATGGAAAAGCTATATCATAGAGGGGTTATGAGGACTTTGTGTGATGATTGCCAATTTGTTTGCATAACTCAAACAGATTATTTTAGGTAGAGATCAATAATACTTATTTTTTATACTTGTGAACTTTTTATGTTCACAATTTACCTTGTTACTTATTTATTAATTTTATTTTTAGAATTCAACATCAAGGTGAGGAAAATACAAGAAGGCATGAGGAAGATGGTCGACTTGTTATGATAACAGAATTAAGAGGTGACCAGGAAGAAGGTGGCAAAAGGGGGCATGTTGTTATAAGGGTAAATAAAATTAATATTAACTCAAGTGTGAAAGCTTTTTTGGATTTAATCTAAATTTTTACAAACTTCAATTTTTGTAAAACTCAAATTTAAGTATGACAATTAAAATAGGATTTTGTAATTTGTAGAAAAGTTGTGAGGATATATTATTAATTGTGAGGAGTTTTTTTTATACACTTTATATAATCTGTAAAATAACAATTGTGATGAACAAATGAATTATAATTATCTAATCTTACAGGGTACTCCCGAACGTTTGATGCTGCAGCTGATAGAAGAAAATTCTGTAACAGATTGCACGTACATTGAAGACTTCCTACTGACACATAGAACATTTATTGATAGTTCTTTAGATGTTGCTAAACAACTTTTAGTGTGGTTTAAAGAATCTCATATTCGTGATCATGTTACTAGAGTTGTGCTGCTATGGGTCAACAATCACTTCACAGACTTTGAAACGGATCCTCAGATGATGGATTTTCTCGAAGTTTTTGAAGGTGGCTTGGAACAAGAAAATATGCAAGGCCAGCTAAGGTTAAATTTGCATGTGCAGCAAAAGCAAGAACTAGAAATGTTACATTGGCCAGACCATCTAGAGATGAGCCATTGCAATTTTCTATACTTGGTGGTTATGAAAGGGGATTTGGAATTTTTATATCCAAAGTGGATAAGAAATCTAGAGCTGAGGATGTTGGTTTGAAAAGAGGTGACCAAATTTTGGAAGTTAATGGCCAAAGTTTTGAACATGTCAGTTACAACAAAGCTTTGGATATTTTAAGAGGAACTACACATCTAAGCATAACATTGAAGAGTAATTTACTTGGTAAGTAAATAATAGTTTAATAATTTTTGTTAGTATTATTCATGTTAGTAATTCAACTAACTTCAATAGAGGAATAGATAATAATTATATTTGAAATGTTTAAATTTTAATGTGGTATTGTTTAATTATAAAATTATAGTTGACACTGCTTGGCATCTTACTACTGTCTGTGGTGTAATAAAAATTTAGAACTTTAAAATTTAAATATTTATTCAACATTAGGTCTAGATTTTAATAATTATATAATGTTTGTAATTATAATTTACTGGGTTTCTGATTAATGTTTTATTCATATTTATATAGCATTTAAAGAAATGTTACAAACTCCTGATAACTCTCCAAGACCCAGAGGACGAAAAGTATCAGAGATTGCATTATTACAAGCGGATCCAAAAGCACGATTATCGTCAGTAGAATTGCTGTCAGCAGAAGAACCTTTATCTAAAGCCCCAATTACAATACAAAGTCCAAACAAAGAAAGTAATAACAAAAAGGATTCACATATTGGTTTCAAAACACTTGCTCCCAAAAAAAGACTACAAAAGGCACTGATGAAAATGAATATTCTACCAAAGAATATCATCAAGTAAGTAATAAAAATGCAATATGTGAAAGCTGTGATATTTTCTGGATGCATTATTTATTAAAATGAAATTATTATTTAAAATACTTCATTATTCCAAATACTATGTAACATTAGCATGTTCCATTTATGTAACAATAATTATAATGTATTATCTACAATTCATCATAATTTGAGTAATACAAATATGATTTATTTTTTCAGTGAAAGTCTAGCAAATGATGACAGCAATATACCTCTCACAAATACTGGATTAACAAATAGCAACCAAAACAATCAACTATATCAGTCACATAGTAATCCTGATTTAATGTCATGCTATGATGACTTGAGGGGTTCTGACTATCCAGAACATGTCCTCAAAGTATTTAAATCAGACCAAACATGCAAATATCTATTGGTGAGTTGAATTAAAGTGACGTGTCATATCTAATTTCAATACTATCGAGTTATTATATATTACTATTCAAAAACTAGGTTCATAAAGAAACTACTGCCCATGAAGTGGTGATGTTGGCTCTTCAAGAATTTGGTATAACTGACCCAAGCTCTAATTTTTCACTGTGTGAAGTATCAGTGGCAGAGGGTGGAATGATAAAACAAAGACGATTACCTGACCAATTGCAGAATTTAGCAGAAAGAATAGGTTTAAATTCTCGATATTACTTAAAAACTAATGGCATAACAGAAACATTAGTTGCTGATGAAATGGCACCTGAGTTGGTCAGGGAAGGCGCTGTTTATTTCTTACAATTAAATGCTGTAGAAATTGCTATACAGTTGACTTTACAAGACTTTAGTATATTCAGGCAAATTGAAAGTACTGAGTATGTTGATGATCTCTTTGAACTGAAGAGCAGATATGGAATGCCGATGTTATCGCAGTTTTCAGAACTAGTTAATAGAGAAATGTTCTGGGTGGTTACAGAAGTATGCAGTGAACATAACCTAGTTAGAAGAAGCAAGATTATTAAACAATTTATCAAAGTAGCAAGTATGTGAATATTTTTTATTAGTACATAATTCTGATATGCATGCGTACATATATATATATATATATGTATATATATATATATATATATATATATATATATATATATATTACTAAATGTAATTATATTCTAAATTGTTTAAATGACAGAAATAGATTTTGAGACAGCAAAATATACTTTTTACTACATCAGTTCTTAAAATTCTAAATTTAAATTACTTGATTTACATGTGACACAACAGTTCTTGTTGTTACTAATTCAGTTATTACATTATGTACTTTTCCTCCAGAAATACATATTATTTGATAAATTTTTATTTATGTGTAATATTAATTATTTATTTATATTTGGTGTTTTGTTCATTTTTACAGGGCAATGTAAAGAATGCAAGAATTTTAATTCCATGTTTGCAATAATTTCTGGCCTTGGTCATGGTGCTGTTTCACGATTGAGAGTTTCTTGGGAAAAATTATCAACAAAATATCAAAGATTGTTTTCAGATTTGCAAGAACTGATGGATCCTTCAAGAAATATGTCTAAATATAGACAACTTATAAGTTCTGAACAAAGCAAACCGCCCATTGTGAGTTTATATGTTTCAAAATAATACAATTTAGGGATTTATTTTACAATTTCATACAATAATCAATAATTTTTTGATAAATATTTCTGATAACTATTAAAATTATAATTATCTTATATTTGTTTTATTACCAAAAAAACGTTTATAAGTTTCTTTAAATTTCAATTGTCGTAATTAATTATTGATGATTAAGTAACTAATCATTATTGTTATGTATAAATTTTATCTGAAAATAATTTACTATCTAGTGTGTTTTTTTTAATTTCAGATACCATTTTACCCCATTGTGAAAAAAGACTTAACATTATTCATTTGGGAAATGATTCACGTGTGGATGGTTTAGTAAATTTTGAAAAATTGAGAATGATTGCTAAAGAAGTAAGATCCTTGACAAATATGTGTAGCAGTCCTTATGACTTGTTGACTATGCTCGAGCTGGGAGGACAGCCTCCAAGTTCAGCTATGGTTGCATTGAATCAGATGACAACTGCCACTACAGGGGGAACAAATGCTCAGCAAGGTCAGGAAAATATAAACTTTATGTATTTTATTCAAATACAAAAAATTTTAGACTTATAGACTTTAATGCTTCTATTCTATGGAATACTATATTTCTTTTATATTAATTATGTGTATATATGAAATCATTATCATAGTTATTATTTACCCAGGTCAAGCAACTGTAAAAGACGTAAAAAGTCAACAGCTGCACCCAATCCTAAAAAGATGTTCGAAGAAGCTCAGATGGTGAGAAGAGTTAAAGCCTATCTGAATAACATGAAAATAATAACTGATGAGGAAAAGTTACATGCTTTATCTTTGGAATGTGAACCTAGTGGTTCAGCACCCAATTCTGTTCCAATTAGAAAAAGGCATCCATCACCTACCTTATCCACAACTAGCAGTGCAAGTTCTGCCAGTGAAGGGAAGAAGGGAATTGCAGCTACTAAATTTGGTAATCATTTGTGAACTTTATAATTTTAGTTGAATGCTTAATTTTACTTCACTGAATTTGACTTTTTATGCTACTGATCTTAAGTAGCAATATTGAATAACAATTAAATATTTGACAAAAAATCTATTTGACTTTCTTAATGAAATATGTTTCTGACTTATATAAATTAACATAATATAGTAGTGTCCACAATTGCGCTAAATTTACTTGATTGAATATTGGTCTCTATGAAAAAGCATATATATGTGAATGAGGAGTTATTATTCATATGTACTATTTTTTTAAATAGTATGTTTCAACAATGGTATTGGTTAATATTTGTGTGAAATCTTAAACTCTTAATTTTTATTTTAATTGTGACTAACTTGCAGCACTTATGCAAATATAAATGGCATGCTTTTGACATAATTGACAATTAATGATAGCTTAAACATTTTTATTCACAAATTGCGAGCATATGTGTTCTCATTCAAAGCATGTGAAGCAAAAAATTATACTCATATTTTCTCTAAACTATACAAAAATTTATTCAAACAGTTTCATGTTATGTTTAATTTACTAGAAAATTGCTATTTTTTTAACTGCCTATTTGAAAATTATATATAATTTTATAACATCACATTTTGAATGTATTAAAGCTTTGAAATATATTGCTGTGAGAATTTCAGTTTTAGTGACAAACATATTTTATACTCATTTTATTACCCTTATTGCGATTAAATATTTGCTTCTTTCCTAATTAAAAAATCGTTTCGTTTTTAAACAATGTTTGATTCTTGTAATCTAAATGTTACATTCATATGTTTTTCATTACTTATTTTTTTGCATTATGAAAATGCAGTTAGTGCTTAACAATGTTAAAGTAATTCTAGTACTGAAAGTCATGTTGTTATTTAATCTAATTTTATTTTCTTGTTTTAATAAATAGCACATGTTTTGAACAATTGTTAGAATTAAATCATAGTTGCAATAATTAGTCATTGATGTTTCGTTTATCATTTAATGTAGGCGCCGCGTCGCCGCAAGCTGTTCGCAAGATTCTTGCCCTATCCGAACCTACAAAAACGCGGCCCCACCAGCCGCGACACCCTGGTTCTGCCTTACCTATGCAGGGAATGGTACATCATCATCACGCTTTGCATCACCATCATCATCCTCATCACCATGGGCTTCTACCTGGAACAGGGCTAACGGCTTCACAAGCCTCAATTCCCTCTCCCGGCGCACATCATCGCAGGATAGGTTCTGCTAGCGTCACAGGTATTAATCGACAATAAATTATAAAAATTCAGGACAAAGATATTTTGTTTAAATGAAACTTTTAAATTACTTAACTATATATGAAATCTTATTCAATAAGCAATGCAATAAGGTGTTGCTATGATCATTTCATATATTATTATTTTCTTTCTAAAATGTGTTTCAATATTTTTTCTTGCTCTCATTAATTGTATTATATTATATTTAATTACGCTATTAGTCAAGTCAGTAAAGATTATATGACTTCAAAAACAGTTCCTATTTTATTCTTTTTATTATTTTGTTTTTGATATTATTAAAAATGAGAAACCTTTAAGAAAGGGAAATAATTATTTTTACTATTTAAACAATATGTATGTTATTTATATAAGAAAATAAGTTTTTGAGTGGTTTTCATTGAAAAAAAATATTTATATATTTATTTTTGTGTTAATGATAGTTATTATAAGTACAGTTATTAATTGAATATTATTTTATATCATAAAAAAAAGAGTGCGCGTAAGGTTTACACGCGATTGAAGCTAAACTTATTTGCTACTGTACAAGGTGGCATTTAAGTAAAAATAAATAACATCATATAACAATTTTGAATAATGTTGAATAGTAATTTATTAGTTTCAACCATTATACACATTTATATAATGTTAAATTATAAATTATATAATTATAATAGCATAAAAAATATGGATAATATTTAAATAATGTAATTAAAGTCATACTCAAATATGACATGATCGGTTTGTTATTGTAATTAGGGTTTAGAAATGAACCTTAATTAGAGAAATGAAGTAATTGCTGATTAATAAATTCTATAATATTTGTTCACACAGTGGATTATGTTAAACAACGCCTAAACAAATATTGTTTTTGCAACTTCACTCATCATGTAATTGTGTTTGAAGAACTTCATGTAATTAAAATTAACATACATTCATTGACTGCTTGTATTTTTTACTTTTTCGCTGGCGATATAATCTCATTCTTTGAACGACTGTAATATCTGTCTTGCCTAAAATATTTTCCATTTTAATAACTTCAAAGATTTATAGAAACTTCGAATAATATAGAAATAATTTCTAATCAATGAACTTATGTTTAGTGCACGGCACAAATGTTTAATTTGTTTTATTATTTTAAAGGAACAGGATAAAATATTCTTCTGATTCAGGCATTTTTCATTAAATCAAGATTTGTACTACTACGATGTAACTTAGAATGTTTATTTAGCTATGCCGATTTTCTTGTTGATATTGGTATGCATTCAACGTTGATGCCGGCACGCATACTACGACAGATCTCTATTCACATACACGATGACTAATCACAATCGACCCGTATTGAAATAATTTCATCGAGAGCGAATGACGTACAGTTCGGGCGTAACGCTATTTCCGTTGCATTCGTACGGATTTACACCCTAGTCGCGCCTAAAGAAGTTTTACTTCAAAAATTAAATAAACGGGTTTTATTTGCCAAAATTACAATTAATCATATTCCGCCTAGAATTAATTATATTGAAGTATTAAGTATTTTAGCAATTTGGCTGCTTTATAACACATATAATTTTTCAAAGTCACGAATTTAGAAAAAAAAGTTTGATTTTTAAAAAAACTTTTTTTTTCATAATATCTCGAAAATTATGAAAGATACTTATAAGAGAAATGATAAAAATGTAGGTCATTTTATATTAATTTTGTCTTATCATTGTACATTTATACAGAAAAAAACATAGCTCTTATATATATTTTGACCAAGAAGAAAATTTATATGATCTAAATAATGAATGATCATAACAACTGTACTTGTAAAAACTGTTCTTAACACGAAAAGCAACACACATTTTTTATTAAAGAAAATTACTCAAAAACTTACTTTTCTATATAAATAACATACATATTGTTTTAACAATAAAAATAATTATTTCTACCTTCTGAAAGGACTCTTGATTTTGAATACTATTAAAAAACTGAAATTAAAAAAAGAATTGGAGCTCTTTCTAAGGACTTTCTAAGTTTGCCCGTTTTATGTCTTTATTGATTTGGTTATACAGTAGAACCTCGTTTATCCAGACCTCAGTTATACGGATTCGCGATCATCCGGACTACCAACCGCGATCAATTTCTATGTATGTACATATCTACAAATCGAATTTTTGCATGATTAAGTTAGTATATGTTTGTAATGTAATCTAAGAAAATCTATATGTGCATACATAGGGAAGTTTTAATTTCCCAATGAACATTATTTCCGTTGATGTCTATGCATGTATTTGTTATTTTCATTAAATACACAACATTATTCTTTCATATATTCGATTATCCGGATTTTTGAATGCCTATCGACAACAATTAGAACTCCGATAATCGAGGTTCTACTGTAATTAATTTGATTATTGCTAGAGACTACGATATATTTTAGAACTTTTGATTATTGATACAGATCTTTATTTGTTTTTAAATTTGTCTTTAATTTGTCTTTAAGGCCCTGCATGCTGCGGAAGTCAAGTGTACGTTCATTCCATAAGTAGTAATGGCAGCGGCATGGTCGGTCGAGTGGTCGGTGGCGGAGTTGGTGTCGGAATGCACGAACGTTCGCATTCCGATACGCCTACGCCTTTGCCATCAGTCGATTTGTCAGCTGCAGAGCAGTAGCGTCACATCATTAAGCAACATGCCCCTGAGGAAAACGGTCACTTCGGGTAAGATATCAAATTCAGATTGTACTGATGACATTTATACAAGCAATCATTGTGGTGATAGATTAATTTGAAATGTGGGATAAGTTTCTTATTTATCAGCATAGTTGCAAAACTTGCTTTATCTTAAAAGATATACTTTTTTGTATAAGTTTTAACTGTAAAGATTCAATTAGACAATATTTGAAAATTTATTAATATATGCGAAATGTATATTTCAACTATTTATTAGAATTTATTGCTAATATGGAATGCGACACTATTATTATATTTCTAAAAGTATTGATCATCCATCTATATATTCATTGACCATCAGCACATTTAAAAATATGAGTTATTTTTGCTTAAAGAAAATTATTTAAATCAGAAACTATATGTGCATAAGTATAAGATTTGATTGTTTCTTTAACTTTAGTTGATTATCGGTGTTAATTTCATATAAAAAAAATTCGTTTTCTGTTTGATTTATAGTTTAACATACAAAATTTCATACAACAATAGCATTTTTCATCAGCGCTTGATGGAGCAGTTTTAATTTCAAAATAAACTCGAAAACTTGTTGTTTGATTTTTGATTTTAAAGGCTTGTATTTACAGTAAATATAGCTTTCAAGCATCAGTATATAAGTATTTGATCATATTTGCTTATTTAGTCCTTAAAACGACATTTTTAATCGTTTATAAAACACATGATGAAAATATTATTGATTAATTTAGTTAATTATTTATGAGATAATATTTTTATAGTTTTAACTATATAAATATATATGTATATTTTATATTTTTGTACAAAGGTAACATCTCAGTAGTAATCTCCTTAACATTTTTTTTTTTTTTTGATAAATAATAGTTATAAAAGCTTATTTTATACGCGTATAAATGATTTAATTTGTAGAAAACCAATGTGAAAAAACAATGCATGAATGAGCCCACACTTTGCTTTAGCGGATTGTCGAAAGTAAAAAAAAACTGTTTATTACTGATGTTTTTTATTTATTTATATTTTTTATATTTATTTGAATTATAGAAATCAATTTGATGATTTGAATTAACTTTAATAATGTATTTTTATGAATCGCCACTCCGCACATGAGCGTTTGGGAAGCACTGGTATTATAGTATAATGTTTACTTCTTATATTTTACTTGGCATGTCGATGTACATAATTTTAAAGATATCAATATTTACCAAATAAATGATCAACAACATTTTTTAGAATACAGTGTCAGTATTAACTTTGAAATTGGTACATGCTGTACCAAATTTGGTATAATATATCATTTGCCATTTGTTCTGGTAATTATTAATGTGTTTATTAATTGCATATATGTTTTCATTTTTATCATACCTGAATTATGTATGCACAATGTACATAATCTCATATTTTTGTGTTTTTTCAACTAGCTCTCTCAACAAAGCTAATAATTATATAGTAAACATATTAACAGATTACCATAACAGTATTTCACAATCTATTTTTCTTGATCAAATATAACTTTGGAGTATCGCAAGGAATTTTCTACTGAAAATCCTATTTATAGGAATAAAACTAGATAAAAATACTTATAATCTAATTTATATGGATAAAATTGTCACTG